AGACATAAATACAGATTAGACTTCTCTACAAAAAATGTCCGATTTGCACATTTTTTTAAATAAAAAATATGTACTTACAAAAACATTTTAAGTACATTGAAAATGTTTAAGCATTATGTACGAAAAATGGCACCGGATATTAAAAACCTAACTAACATTAAGTTTCAACATCAAAATGCTGGCACCGACTCCAAAAATAAGTAATAAATTTTGAATATTTGCAAAATATTAATGTCAAATAAGTTTACCTATAAATTAAGTTTTTTTACAGTAATTCAAATTGTTATTTTTTACTTTTTAGTGTAGGAACTTTTATTGCTTGACTTTTTTTGAAGGCGGTTTTTTTATTTTGTAAAATTTTTTTTTCTTTTACGTAACCCCACAAAAAGGGGTCCAAATGGGTTAGGTCTGGGGATCGTGCTGGCCACGGTTGCGGTCCAAACCTACCTAAACTACGTTTAAATAGGAAAGCACTGGTAAGCGGTAGCGTCTCGTTACGTTAGCGAACCAATTCCAAAATCCACTTAGGTATTGGTCTTCCGGCGCCTTTTTGTCTGGGAACAATGGGCTGGTTTTCAAGCAAGCGTTGATAGTCACCAGTAATTATCTTGGAGTCTGATGGATGCCGACGGTCAGGATACCTACACTACTACAACACATTATCATCTCCCCATAATCACGCGCGCTAAACGTACCTAGGTAGTAATTTCGCACAATTTCTACAACAAAACTTCACTACACTTCACACACTACATAACTAATAAAACTTAACAATACTACTTATAACAAAACTTTTAAGCCGAATGCGCGAGCGATCCGTACCGACACACGCTCGCGGTACACAAACAGTAACATCGCAGCAAGGCACAATGGCGACTGCATGTGATGAGACACACACAAACATAAATCTGTTGTTGCCAATTACACGAAAATTACAAAATTTCGGGGTAAAAAATAAAAAAATTATGCATGGTCGTAATTTATCATTCTGTTATTTTTTGTAGAGAAATAAATTGATTAAATCAATTTAATTCTAATTTCATTGTTTAGTTAATTTAGAATAATAAAAGTGCAGTGTGATAGAAAGCTGTGCTTCCATTCCAGGGAGATTGTGTTTAATTTCTGGCTCGACGATTCATGGCTATTGTGAAGCCATGTAAAAATCTGTAAGTAGTTTAAAAACTAAAAGCCAGTAATCGCTTAAAAAGAACAATCAATTAATAAATTAGGTAGTATTTGTAAATGCTTTAAAATTAAAACTAGACTAATCTTTATTTATTTTTTATTCAATTTATGTGCGCGACAAGATTTTCATTAATTGATTAATGAAAACTCATCAATGTAATTATGAATGCAAAGGAGTTCTTAAGTTTTAGATAAATTTCGCTAGTTCTAACATTTTCGTTTACTACCTGAGGTAACAAAAGTTAAAAATTGGCAACACTGGTTCAATCGGGCAAACATTGTGCAAAGAATCGGGGAGACGGGGAGACGCGGAGGCGGGGCGACAGAAAGGGACGCAGCTATTCTGTACGTTGGACGGGATCGTAGCTATACCTACGGCGCGGCGATCGGCGCGGTGGGCGCCTCGGCCGCTGCGCCGTGATCGCGGTGCGGTGAGTTCAAACGACTGTAGCTAGGTAGAAATTGAACAGCTGATTTCATGCGTAGTTCTTTAGAGAATTCACACAACCATTGCGTATTTTTTTGTTTTAGCTGTGTTTATTACATTAATGTTATTCTTCATACATAGAATGTAATTATACATTGAAATAGAGGTGTAGGAACTGAAAAAACGAAAAAAAAAATTGAAAATTTTCCTGAAAGAATTTTCACTGGAATATGATTTAGAATAAGGAGCTGAATGCACCCTGTTAATTTGTAGAGGGCTGTCCCTTACACCCTGTATCTATGGTCGTAGCTGAGGCACGGTGAATACGGTCGTAGCTGAAGCACGGTGACTACGGTCGTAGCTGCGGCACGGTGACTACGGTAATTGCAGCACCGTGACTAATCTCGTAACTGCTACACTAGAATTGATGTCCGTAAGGAGATCAGCAGAGGGAAGATGAGCAGCAGGTTTTTAAATAAGATCTCGCGATTATTTAGCAGCAAAATAGCCTATTTCTTAGCACGAACTCTAGATAAACACCAAAATATATCACGAATTATTTTCATACAAAAGTGGCTCCTCAATCGAAACTTCTGAATATAGGAGTCACCTGGAACTCGTAGTACTTAGATGGATATTTTTATGAAAATGTATAGCAGCAATTTTGCATATTACCGTCTAAAATGTAGCTTCTGTACCGCTAAGAGAAAATATTTTATATAATATAATCTAAAACGTTTAATATGTGTTTGTTTTTGCTGTAACGTTACATGAAAAAAAAAATAACGTAATAATAAAACAAAAAAAAATATGTTAACGCATTGTCTTTGGCTCCTCAATCCTGACTTCAGCTACCTGAGATTTCAACGGAATCTAAAGCTATACTAACATTTAGCAGAAATGTCTGCTAAATATTTTTATGCACAGTTCAGCATGTACATATACATATATGTTTTGGATTCATAATTCAAAACTATTTTCTTGGAAATCAGGGCGTAGAAATTCTACATTATACGCGTGTTAATGAAAGAGTACTTTATTAAATTTATAATTACAAAACAGGGGAAAATCATCAAATGATTTTTCCCGCCCAGGGTGAGGCGAAAGGAAGTGTCAGACTTACTAAAAACCACCGTTCCTTCTGCTCTAGGCCGAGGATCGCAAGCCTAGCAGGCCCATGGATCGCACGATCCCAATATACAACCGCCGGCCGGAAGTAGTGCCCCCGACCGGTTTGGGAGTATTGAAAAACAACTATACTTCCATTCATCGATCGATCGATCGATCGATAAACTAAATTTTAGATATTTTTAAGCTAATTTTAAAAAAATACTATGACGTCATAACTCATTCAAGTGTCATTTTTTTCGAGACCTGAGAGCCTCCGAGGCCAAGATCCAGGCCTTGGCAATATACAACGCTTTGGTTGTTTCACGTCGTTTTTATGTGAGGTACGTTAGGATTGAGGATTGAGAATTTTTCAAATCTGATCTCACCATTATTTAGCAGCAATGTAGCCTGTAGTTTAGCAGTAATTCTAGATTTGGCAGCAAAATACACGCTCTTTGCCCACCGTACACCTCGTGAGACCACCTAGGTGTGCAGCGGGAACTTTTTTTTTACTACTGTTCACCTTGGCTCACCTGGGTGTACCGTGGGAAATATAAAATTTACACCATCCACTTTACTATACCATACCATATAAAATTTACTACATTCGGCTGGACCCATATCTGGCGAATATGGTGGCTGTTCGATGGTATTTGTTGAGTTTTAGGTAAATAATTCGTTCACAATGACGGCCTTTAAGGAAGGCATGCCTTCGCACATGGTCACCGGAGCAGTAGAAGATAATGGGTGCAGCCGAATTCTATCTTTTTCCTGAACTCAAATTACCATTTCATGGCTCCTGTTTACAAACAGCGCTTGACTGCGATCCCACCTGATGTTAAGCAGTGATGCAATCGTTGATGGTAAGGCGCACTAGTTTATTAAGAGCCTATTCACTCTAGCCTTGAAGACACCTAAGTTGTATTCGGATATGCATAATTCGGATATAATGCATAATTTGTTTTAATCATTAATCTGTTTGCTCTTCAGATATAGTTTTGATAATAAAGTGGATGGAGGAAATTTTATATTTCCCACGGTACACCCAGGTGAGCCAAGGTGAACAGTAGTAAAAAAAAAACTTCCCGCTGCACACCTAGGTGGTCTCACGAGGTGTACGGTGGGCAAAGAGCGAAATAACATCACTAGTTATTTTAATGAAAAGGTGGCTCCTCCTGGAACTCTAGTGCCGTAATAGATGGATTTAATTTAATTTAACATAATATAATTATTTTATTTTATTTTTTTATCATGTAGTAGCAATTTTGCATATTGCCGTCTAAAATTGACTATTTTCTAGTAAACACACAGAATTTACCAGAATTCTAAAAACTAAAATTCTAAAAAAAAAGTACTGTGTTTTCAGAATCCTACTAGGTATTATAAAGGCGAAAGTTTGTAAGTATGGATGTATGGATGTTTGTTACTCTTTCACGTAAAAATTACTGAATGGATTTGAGTGAAACTTTACCACAATATAGCTTATACATCAGAATAACACAGACAATTTTTGAGTTTTCTAATGTGAAGTCGTAAAAAAAACAATTTTTTGCGCTTACGTTTCCAAAGCGACGAATCTGCATGTTTATGCTGAAGGAAAAAGATCCCTAAATGTAGTTTATAGGAGCATACTGAAATAGCTACTTATAGAGCTATGATTAGGGCTCTGCAGTGCTTACTTACCGTATTTCTTACTTATTACTAGACTAGACGGGACGAACCTGAAGTCCACGCGAACGAAGTCGCGGGCAAAAGCTAGTCCAAAATATATAGATTGCTGAACTGTGCTTAAATATTTAGCAGACATTTGTGCTAAAAGTTGGTATCTCTGGCTTTAGATTCCGTTGAAATCTCTAGAGAAAAGTAGAATAAAGTAGAATAAAAAAGTGAATTGTTACTGTCCTTTTGCGTAAAAACTAAATAAAACATAAGAAAGTGACTAATAATTATAGTAGTTAGGCATTTAAATAAAAGGACCAGTTTGAAACAGACATTGCATTTAATAAAGTATTACTTGAACTTTTATACACAAGGAAACAAATGGGGACAAGTCGTAAATTCCAAAACAATGTTTCTGAGAACACTGCCAAGCTCTACACTCGACTAGACGTTTTTCATTAAACTATTAATATCTTCAAAAAGCGATAATAAATAATAAAACCTACTGAAGTAGTGGAAACGTTATGCTCATTGTGTTCATATACATCATTGTCACCACCATTGATACTTTGCACGGACGGACTAATAAGGTCTGACTTATTAGGTAAACAAAAAAACTTTAAAAGATCATATAAGGGTCAAGATCATTATTCCAAATGAGTTTGACGTCATAATGGCACCATGGATAACCTGATTTTGAGGTCTGACGACAGAACCGGAAGAATGCCACTCGAATCACACGAGTTATTTTGTAGTTGTTGGTATGGATTATATCCGGGTCAAGGTCTGGAGATCTGGCAAATAGCAACTGCTTTTTAAAACAAACTAGCTGGCTGAGGATCAGAAAAAGGCTACAAAAAGTAGGAATTTATCATTGTTATCTCAAAATGAATAAATATATAATATAAATAATGCAATGTCAATAAATTATAAATCATACATAAGCACATTGATATATCTACATACACAGAATTGCAGATTCGGGCCAATCAGCAATTAGCTATATTGATTTAAACTCATTTACAACAGTCCTACTTTACAGTTTTACTTTCTGATAGTTCCACTGGCTTTATGCAGACTCCCATCAAACACTAACAAAAGCAACAGCTACTCGAAGATGTTAGGCTGAAGTACATAGAGACAAATACATTATCAAGGCTTAAGAATTTCATGAGATGGCAGCTTGTGTAATATGAATTACGTAGTACGCTGTGTTGTTTAGAGGCTGTCAGTCCTTATTAGTTCATGATACTTAGTAACCATTGCGTTGAAATTGTGATCTAGCTCAAAAACCTGATTTATCTCCCTGATTTGATATTTGCTATAAATCGGATTGTTTTTGTTTTTCAAAAAACGCAAAGATCTTAAATACGATAAAACGTGTATTATAAAAAAAATATTGCATCTTAACAGATGTACCTATATGAAAATATAAACAGTTGAAGATAAACACTGTTTTGGCTTGTTATTTCTATTGTAAAGCAGTTAAAACTATAAAAAATGAATTACAAAATGCTCAATGTGTTACGGCATAACATTCTGGCACTTTGATGATCTAACACTTAAATCATGAAACTGTAATCTTAACCACTATGACACCGCGGGCGCTAGTCGAAGTTAAACCCATAAAAAACAGCAGCTTGGCAGTAAGTATTATAGGGAGTAGTAGATATTAAAAATCTCAAAAACTTTCACAAGCTTTACACACTGGCTTCAATAAAAAAGAAAAGTAGGTACACCGTCAACTTTGTACACGACTTGTCCACGTGTTTCGTACAAATCTAGAGTGAAAAGAGAATAGAGGAAACATATAGCAGTATTTATAAAATGGCACTACATACCAAGACATTTCCGGAAAGGTCTACCTATATAGTGTGTTCTATACAACATTCAACGGTGAGCAGTACTAGTTCCAACAGGCAGTCGTAGTTCCAAGTTGTTAACTAGATATTGTGGTTATCGTGGAGACTTCAGTACACTTTCAGTTGATTCTTGTCGTCGAAACCAGCCGAGTGACCGGCGTTGCGCACGATGAATGAATTGCCGTCGAAGTGCATCCGCCTCTCACCACGTCTATTCAAAGGAACCATTTATTACTTCTACCCTTCATGAATTTCCAATCTACCTATCTTTTGATATTATTGCCCCAAATTCGATTTGTGAAGCTATTAACATTCAGAGAGTTCAGAAGCTAAGGTTCTTGATATTGGTGAGGGGTATAAAAGCTGATCTCACCGAACGAAAAGATGCTGAGTCTGGCCTAGCGAGGCGGTGCAGTGCAGGAACGGACTCGTAATGGACGCGGACCCGTTGCTCGGGCTTGTGCGCAGCTGGTACTTGTGACTGCATCGGTGAATCCTTCAACAAAAATCAAAATATGTAGGTATGAAACACATTAATCCTATTTCAATGAACAATATGTATACAATTATGCATTCAACAATCAAAGAATCGCTCATAATATGTATGGGTATGTATGATCTTGGAAACGGCTTTAACGATTTCGACGACATTTTGTATGTATATTAAGGGTTGTAGGGACGAAAATCAAACTATAAGATTCTACATTCTTTCCAACATTTCATCCAGGTAGATTTTCAAAATAATTATAATATACAATACAAATTGTACCCCTTTAATTGATAAAAAAAATTTGGTTTATAGTGTAGGGCGGCAAACAAGACGACAACCAATCTGCGCCGGCCACGACACTGGAGGAGGTACTAAAGCGCTGCCAAAGCGTTGAATATTTGGGGGATAGGAGATCTTGATAACAAGGCAATGCATAAGCAACATTTTAAGACATAAGACATAAGTAATTATACCTACTTATATAATTAAATACATTCATTCATTCTAGCTTTACGTAAGGCTTCACACGGATGCTATTTCTCGGGATAAATTCCGGGAGGATTTTCTAAATTCTCATAATTACATTATTTCATTGACTTTTTCTCATCGACCTGACCGCAGTTCGCAACATCGAAACATTTATTCACACGAGATGCACATTTACGGAAAAATGGCGTTTCATATTTTGAGGATCGAAGTAATCATTTTCACAACAAAATCGACGAATAAATACGTTGATACTGAGACATTGCGTATTACACAAAATTGTTCAGGTGCCAAACACTTCCAATTAAAAAAAAACAGAAGGACTGCAGGTTCCGTACACTACAGTTACTTATGAGAGCATGATACATGCGATGTGTAGTGTACTCGTATATACTACGGGGCTCGCTCACTTTCGTGTCTCGAGTGTGTGTTTTCAACAGTTTTATTTTTACGCTACTTTACATTTTTCTGAAACTGTAGAAGAACATTTTAACTATACTAATGGCATATATTGCTGGCCCTTATACCACACGTACTTATAGCTAGTTCTTATAATGTGGCTTGTTACTTCCGAGATTAAACTAATGTAAGTATTTATTATTATACTAAAATCTGTCGAGTAGTTTTGTATCTATAAGGAACATACAGACCGACAAAAAAATTACAGATCACCCCCGAATGGTTATTTTGAAAATATATTTGTGCAGAATTGACATCTCTAAAATTTATTATAAGTATAGATGTAGTCCATGACGCATTTCTGCATTTCTAGAAATTGCTCCCTATTGTTAGCCACATATGTATTGTAGTGCCGGACCAGAGGTTAAGGCGGCTGGTTCTCCTGCATGATAAGGAGGCACGGCAGCCTGGCATGTATCAATTTGACTTTACCGAATACGAGAAATTTGGACTAGGACTTTATTTAGACGCCACGTTTAAACGGTGAAGGAAAACAATCAGGAAACCTAAACCTTAAATTTGAGTCTCAAATCGCCAATTTGCATCATGCAAACGTAGTGATTAATACTCAAATCGACTCAGTTTGCTGACGCTGGGCTGAGCTAAGCAGACGGTATATCTCTTCTACTCCTATTCACAAATTTTCAGAAATTCCCTGAAAATGTGAAGCCGAATAAGCTTTCCTTTCAGTTCTCATGACACCGGGACGGACAGTCTGTCGTTTAATGGAGGCAAAGTTTATTTTTATGTAACGTATAATGCCCCGATTTGTTTACGTGCTGTGATGCATCCGTGACATGGTATTTAATCGACTGGACTGCGTTTTTCGTCTTGAGAATCTTTTATATTCAACAATATTTTTAAATAAATGGTACTAAAATCTTTTAGGTAAATAGTGCCAAAAGCAATGGATATGTTTGGGTTACTAAAAAGTTTACCGTTTTCTTATGTATGAGATTAACATAAATACGGAAGCATGACAAGTCCATAAATTATTGTTTCCCTAAATTATTAATTTGCTTGATTTTCACACATTTTCAGTTACCTACGCGCTAAACGAACTTAAACCTAACGACTAAAGGAGTTAGTAGTTATGTAAGTCCGTATTAAGTCGGATTAATTAAATAGAAGTGAACTGCTAACGCGTCCCTTAACGTATGTGCTTTATATGGGTTCTGTAATTGCATACTTTAGTGTTTCGAATACAAGATAATGACGAATTACAAACAACTTATCACCTACCTGTGTACAGCCTGTAAAAACTACGTTATTGTTTTCACCAGACTACACTACATTTTTATTATAATAAATTTATTTATCAAATCCTGAAGATTGAGGTAACAACATTCGATTTTATTATAACTATTATTGCAAGCATCGGAACTGATCTGGTTTTAAAAATGAACTGTGTATTAGTCTTGTAACAAGATTCAAGGTATAAGAGAGAAGTGAATGTACGGTATTGAAAGAAGTGTGTATTTATGGTATTACCTAACAAGTCCATCCGCAGTTTGGCTGACGCGCACATTGTTGATGATCCAGTTGTCTATGCCATCATCCGTCAACCAGTACTGCGCCGCTTGCAGCAGCGACATTGCTTCATTCACGTACGACGGCCCATGGCGTGACTCGCTGTAATTAATCACTAATTAGCTACCTATACTTAAACATAGAACATATTCATATTCAAGGACCCGATTCTGGTGCTCAAATAAAACAACTTTTTCCATAATACGAATATGCATATCTCAAAAACATTTGACATTCAAAACGCTCAATCAGCTGTTGCAATTTGTATGGTGAAAAATTTATTTTTGAGATTTGGATATTAATCCAATGGCAAAGGTTGTCGTAATTGAGCACCAAAATCGGCTCTAAGAATATGTCTTTCGTTCAAAATGCCACCACCTCTGTATAATAAAAAGTCCGCATAAACATCAGAAACAAGACTTACATCACAAAATAACTGCAATAACTATAAAAAAAGAAATTACTTCGTGGATAATAGAATCAAAGTTGCAAAAAGTCTCGTAATAGTGATATTCTAATATGTATATTGTAGGTATATTATGAAAACTAACTAAGGGAACGATAATATTTAGTTTATTGTACCTAGTAGGTACACTAATGCTCAACAATTTGAGTTCACACTCATTAACTAATCGGAAACGAAAAACGGAAAAAAGGGTCCTAAATCGCTACGAGCGGATTTTCGAGAACCTGATACGGACAATGAGTAAAATAGGTTAAAATTGAACTAGAGATAAAATGTTTTGAATGATTATGACAAAATGGGATACTTCAATTGGACGGCCTTACTTGTAAAAGACATTCAGAGTGAAGTCCTGACTCATGTCAAGGAAAGTATCGGTGGTGGTGCGCGTGCCAGCTGCATCTACCAAGTACACCAGCGCACATTGTTCCGCAGTGAACGACACACCCTTGTACCACATCTTTGCATATCTAAAATCGAGTAAGTAAAAATTTTCAATTCATTTAGACTATTTTCTGATCGCTACTCTTCAAATAGCAATAAGTTAGTAGCTAATACAATTTTATGGGAACCTTCAAAGCATAGGTACTTTCCCATAATTATATTATAGTCACAAACTGGAGGCTATTCTTTGCTATAGATACTATAATACGAAAAATATACGTTTCAGTCCACACATCAATGTCCAAAATCTTAGAATCAAAAACCACTACTTTCTGGATACAAAACCTGCTGTACTTAGGTAGGCGAACTACAGTTATTTGTCGAGACACGATTTATCTTTAGAATAACTATTTTTGGCTAAAAATACGAACCGGATCTGATGTACATCTATTCTAGTTTCTTGGAAAGAAATTTACTGGACAATATCAAGTTCAAGGGAAACATTACTGTTTTAGTTTAAATACCTTACAACTTACAGCAGCAGAGGATAACGGTTCATTTACTTGAATGAATAGGGTATTGATTTATCGAGTTTTGAACTGCTGTTACCTGGCCGTCCAGGCTTTTAGTGAAAATTAGGTCAGACTCGTATACATATACGGACACCAGGAATAAACGTGCAGACCTTTATACCCAACAAACCTTTTATATTGCAACAATTTGACACATCACTAAACCTCACTAAATAGAACATTCATGCTGTTAAGTTGTATATCTGTCTCTATAATCAGAAAGTGCCTTTTTCTTGGCTCCAATTTATCTCAGATTTCGGTCGCGCTGCATAAGTTACGCGTGTTTATTAAACACCGCAGTAGATCGCAACCTACTTCTTAAGTTAGCAAGTTGTATAAAATACAAGGTACACTACCTAGGTAGGCACCTCAAATCTGAACGTTATTATTCAATTATTTTACGAAAGAAAGCTTCACACTAGCTGAGGTGATACAAAAGTAATACTAACTTGTTATTGCCCTGCTGGTGGCGGGCCTGGATCTCAACTCTGGATCCATAGTGATAGACGAGTCCGTTGGGGTGGATCAGTGCTGCAGCTGCACCAGAGCGCGACAACGCCAGGATAATATTGTTCTTAGCATTGGTTACGCGAACAGCTCCGTCGATGGTCATATCAACTCTAAATAAATAGAAATATAGTTACCGGACTCGTAATAAGGACCATTAAGCGAAGCAAACCCAAATAGTAGAGCTACATGCTACTCCATTTGATTTTAAACCGATATTCGGGAACTTTGATTTGCTTAAAATTGAAGATGTTTCATATAATAATCTAATGTTTTAAATACTACTTATACTTTTTCTAAACAAATCTTTAAATGTTTACTATCTAATAATATACTTTCAATAATAGTCGGTAATTGAGTGTACTACCACCATACCGCTGTGCAGGAAACAAATGACATGCAACTCAACTAGCCGCACTTACTTGACTCTGTCTCTTAGGCGGAGGCAGACGGTGCCATGAGGCGTGACCGAAGCATTATATCCAGCGCCCCCGACTACGTCAGTCATCTATGTAAAGCATCATGATTACTTTTGTAAGCATCACTTAACATTGCTGTTTACTAAAACTAATAAGCTTATATTTTTTTAGGATATTTGTGCAGGCTGGAGTTACAACCTATGTATTGGATCCATTATTCCATACCACCATACCTCTGTTTTCCCCCTCCCCTCCCCCTACCTGCCCCCTACAATGTTGATAACACAAAGCTAATATTTGCAAACTCAAAGTATCCGCTTCTCATGCATTAGAAAGTGGTGTTGAAGTGTCAGTGTCGCGAAATCGATACAGGTACCAAGGTTATAGAGCAACGCTGTAGGACGCCGATGTGCATGACAATTCTTAAGGCAAAATTCTTACAGTTCTTAGAGCCTCACTGATAGGTGGTTCTACGTATAAGTATCATACGTAAAGTTTCTCCTGGTAAACCCCAAACCACGCTCACTTATCGCTAGACCCATTTAATTAATGGTTAGTTTATTGGATGCGAAGTATCTACCGTGTAGCGGTGTAACTATGTATAATATTAGACTAAGTTATTATACCTCAAGCTCCCGCCAAGTATCAGCATGATAGATGTCATCCCCAGGGTAGAAAGGAGCCTTGCGCTGCAGAGGAGCTCGCCATGGCGGCTGCCATCCTGCAGCGCCCACCAGCTCAGCTTGCCCTAGGCCACCCTCAAGAAACTTGCTGTAGTCTTGGAAGGCGGACAAGTCGGACTCCTCCTGAACCAGATCAATTCATTTCCATAATATTTATTAAATTGCCTTGCGACAGTTATAGTATTATAGGGGAAATAGTGGTTACCTAAAAGCAGTTTACACGATGGTTGTAGCAATTATTTAAGCTTTACCTTATTAGTTATTCATTTTCTACTAAACTCGGCTTTAGCAAACTACGAAGTAAATATTAGGTACTATTGCTAGTTTAAACATTCCGCCACACAGAACGGAACTCTTTAGGTAAACTTAATTTTACTTACATTGAAATTTAAATACATTAGCTATATATAACGCAACTGTGCAGCGTGAAGGCAATGTAGAACAGTCCTAGCTGACATAACAGAGTTTCCTAATATAAGAACCGTCTAAAGGATTAACTATTCGTCGCGGCTCTGACATCTGAGCTAAGCTATCTACTATATATACCAGTACACCCAGTACATATACAGTACCTACCTATGAACACTGCGCTATCCTTATTAAAATACGTGAAACCGATAACCAGCAAATCATTAACCGAAGAGTACCTATAGATCTTAGTCGTTATACAAAACGCGAACGCCTTACTTTTTCTCGCGGCAAAATTGCAAGTTTCCGTTTTATCGCTCCGTGTGAAAATGTATATTTTTAAGACCCAATAGAAATATTGTTATTTGGCATTTTTTTTTTTTTTATTTAAGAAAACGCGTAAATATAAACAATCTTGTAACAAATTCCAACAAAATACCTCTTGTGGCGCTGATTAGTTACCATTATCATCAGATACCGGCAAACTGATCACCGTTTGCCTGTTTGCAGACTAAAACAAAGCCATAAAAATCTAAAACAATTTTGCATTTTTGGCAACTTAATCTAATTTATATACGAATAAAAAAGGGACTCGTAGCCGAGTAGCTAAGGAAAAAGCTAGCCTGTCAAAATGTGAACTAGGAGCAATTTGAGACCAAAGAGCCGATTTCACACAGCCTGTTATCCTTGGCAGATCAGATATTAGTGCTACCATAGGTGAAGTGAGCTACGGTGATTAAACGCGGCGGTTATTTACATCTCATGAAGTATCCTTAAACTACAAGCATAGCAAATCTTATTAGGTAGTCTTATTATACCTAATTATAATTTAGGTTCTAGGTGCCATTCTACAGACTACAATTTAACATAATGAGAGGGGAAATCTATGGAAATATTTCGATAGGAACACCATACCACTGTTCGAATATTTTTCTAAATGTTTACATAATCTAAAACGTACGAGTATCGTATTCTAAACGCAACTTTTGACAATAAATTGCAACCCATTTAGGTACTACATTTGTTGTTAAACTAATCGATGTATAAAATCATATCACCTGATTGTAGGAGTGCGCTGTATAGACACTTCTTGGTCGGACTGGCATCGACACATCCTTTCCAAAAACTGCATTTGCCATTTTAATACTTCTTCAACTTATAACTGTTAAGGTTTATACACTATTTAAAAAAATACATGAACAACAGTGACTATCGACACTGGAAAATGTTACATAATATAAATCATACTTCGCGGTAGGAAGGCAATAGAAGAAGTCAGTTGTCATTTATTTCCTTGATAGTTCGAAATTTAAATTACTTCTCTATGGCGATGACTTTATATTCAAATTATTACTGGCTATGTTCTTATTGTGTATTAAAACTCTTTTTACAATTAAGGTTATACCGTAAAACGGGGTGAATAGATTCAGGAAAGCGCTTAATTAAGTTGAGACTTTTTACCCCGCTTCTGTCAATATATAAAAATGAATCTATCTATAAGTACATAAAATAGGACTATGAAGGTACCTTATTGCGCTTGACCCGCGACCCACGCTTAAGCATTCTATCTATTTATGCTCACATTATCTATGCTCAAGCTTGGGAATCGCATAATTTAACATACCTTCTGCTAATTCTTCTTTTTTTACTGAGAACCGAAAAGAATATTGTTGACCTAGAAGAAGAATAGAGCAACATGCGTTGGGACAACTAAGAACTGTCTGAAATCCGAAGAGAGAGTCGAGAAAATACGTTGTTTTTGAATTCCGGCAACTTGCTCTATTCTTTTGGGAAGAAAAAAGCAAATTCCAGTGTGGTGTCAGATTTTTCGTCCACATAAGTCCCTCGTCAACATCGTGAGCAAAGATGACAGTGAGTCAAGTACGGGAGTGTCCCTTAGGTATACTTAGAATATCAAACTGACATTCGCTGAAGGTCGTACAGGTAGGTAGGTACATATATGGTAAGATCGACAAAATGATGAGGAAACGGTCCAAATGGACAAGGCGATATGAAATAATGCCAAATGACCATATACTACCCGTACCAGTCATCGTAGGGATCGATATCCTTAAAGTCTACAACTTTATCACACATATCAGTAGAACACAACAGATTATTCATCTAGGTAAGTCCAACAGTCTGACCTAGAGGTCGTGGTGGCCCGGAGATTTAGAAGCCCGCTTCTCATGCATGAGGGTGTGGGTTCGAAACCTGGCAAGTATCAATGTGACTTTTTCCCAGTTATATGTGCTTTCTATGATTATTTAGACACCACTGACATATGAATGTGAAGATAAACAACGTGAGGAAACCTGGATTTATAATTTCTAATTATAAGTTTGAAATCGCCAACCCGCGTTGAACAAGCATGGTGATTAATGCTCAAACCTTCTCCGTGTGAGAAGAGACCTTTGCTCAGTAGTGGGCAATTATAGGCTGATGATGATGATGAAGTCTAACAGTGATAAAGATGTAGCCCGAAGAATCCGACAAGAGAAGACATATTTCCAGTTGCTTGCCCCGAAACACAGCTTCGCCGTCGCCAATTGATTAGGTACCGAGATGAACCCGAACTGTTATTTTTTTTTTTAATGTAATAATTCGGCAAACGAGCAGATGGATTACCTGATGGTAAGCAATCAACGCCGCCCATGGACACCCGCAACGGAGGAGTTACGAGTGCGTTGCCGACCTTTTAGGGATTAGGGATTTGGAGATTTAGGGATTGGGGAAGGTTCCGGGAAGGGGAAGGATTGGACCTCCGGTAACCTCACTCACACGGCGAAACACAACGCTGTGGTTGTTTCACGCCGGTTTTCTGTAAGGCCGTGGTATCACTCCGGTCGAGCCGACCCATTCGTGCCGAAGCATGGCTCTCCCACACTTAAAGCATGGCTCTCCCACACTTAAGCATGGCTCTCCCACAATTAGATGGCTCTCCCACACTTACATTTTACACACATTTACTTTTATTATTTTTTTACACACATTTACATTTTACACTTTATGGCAGTGTTAAGACGATTGGTCTTGAGGAGTGGCTACAGTACAGAGTGCAGACAGTTTCTTACCGGACATGATGTCTCGAAAGGTAGCTACGTCGGATTCAGCGGCAGGAAATGTACTACCTTCGCTGTACACTGTAAACTAAATATGTATTTAGGTTAGTAGAGTTCAATATTAATATAGGTACCTATTATAATCATATAAATGATTTTTTTAAAGGGTAGGTAATCATCAAATTATTTCTCACTTCTCCCTCTTATCTGGGTGGAGCGAGGAGTATCAGAATCTTCAATATTACCGATAAAAAATCACCCCATCCTGCTTTGGGTTTGGGCCGCAGTACATTATTGCGCTTGCATCCGCAATCCCGACTGCACTTAGGCCTTACGCCGTTGTTCCCCAAATATAATGGTTATATTTGTTCTTTAACAAAAGCATAAAATAAATTACAAATTAAATGTGATAGGTACATCACATTGGTTATCCAATGAGTATCACTACTTTACTTGAAAAGCATAGTGCGTTGGCCGTCTCCTCTTTGTATTTGCTGGGTGTTTCTAAGGCTCCTGTAAAGTAGTACCTACTCGGATGCCTCCATGGTTACCTTTTTTTGGTATCGGGTTGGAAAATCCTCATGGAGATCCACCGCCCTCGGGGGAGGGCGCAGGGTACTGTCAGACTCTTACTGACTATCGCAAAAGCATTCGTTGCATCCCCCCGACGGGTATTGGTCCGCCAAATAGTCAGGAGGGCCCCGTCACCCACTGCGGCCGTCACCCCAGCCGCAGGACTTCACTATGAGGCGCGCGCGGAGCCGCCGCCTCGAGGCCTGCTGCTGGTTGGAAGACAAGACGCCCCGAATCTATCGTCCGCAGGTCGCGCCCAACGGCGGCCGCAGGTTGGCCACCCTACGACGTCTAGTGGGTCTGCTGCGGGAGAGCGGGGGCCGCCTCTACCTCCCTTTCCGCCGCCTCCTTTACGAGCATCACGGTTTCGCAAAAGGTAACGACGGCACTCCACCCTGACTCGCTCCCAAGCATACTAGACACTACAGCCGGAAGCGAGAGATTTCCCGCAACACCTACGGCCGCGACCAGGTCACGGCGCTGCTTGGCCCAAGCTGGGCACTCCGCCAATGTATGCAGCGCCGTATCGTCGTGGCAATCACTATAATGGTGGCACTGAGACATCGGTTCCCGACCTGTGCTACACAGGTACCTACTTCCTGAAACACCCGTGTCCGGTAAGCTCCTGCGTCAGCCGGAATCTGAGGCGCCGTGGCTCCTATTCAGCTACTCCTCCTGCCCCGTCGTGGGTTGCTCTAAACGCGCCTGCCACTCCGCCACTAAGGCCTGGTGGAGCTCTACCCTGCGTTCCTCGACCTGTCGAGGCACCAAGCGCTCGCCCCGCTCGACTGCCACCAATAGAGCGACGCGAAGAGCTTTGCGTCTATTATAGGTCCCAGGGGGATCCGCCTAGAAGGCTCGCTGCCTCAAAGGAGATCGTACAGTATCCCCATGCCTCTATGGTTGCCTACCTACTCTTTTCCAATCCAATCTTTGTTTTATATGACAACACTATAACCCTAATAAGTAAGTAGTCAAAGAATATGAAAAAGCAAAATAAACTGTACAGAACACCTATATACTTCTGGTCTAAAAATGCGTTTGGTGTTACTCTTTCGAGCAAGAGAGATTTAGTAAGAGAAAAGAAGTATCGTTTGCTCTGTATATACATAATTTTACATTTTACATTATACTTCAACGTTTTAAAATTCCCGCGTAATTCCAAATGTCAATGAGATCAGATGTAGTGCGTTAGCGCTTGGCTTAGAAGATGTTGTGTACTACAACACTACCGTGAACTATAATAATTATATGTAATTATTACAACCGAAAGGTTGAGTAAAATTTTAAATAATAAACTTCAAATTCAAAACCCTGACAAAAAGTCAGTCAAAAACATTACAAAAAATTGATGACGTAGATATCTTATCTAATTACTACTTAAATAGAACTTTCAGCATTAAAAAAATATCTTTATTCATCAATAGCGATTCAGCAAATTGTTCATTTATTAATTTCAAATTTCAACTCTGGTATTTTAGGCGCAATACGAAGGTGTACAATACTATACTTGTACTTATTACTACTTAAGTTATTTTTAAATACCTAATATTCACCCAAGCTAGTAAACATACAATCATGGTTAGATATTTCAAATCTATATAGTTTATGGTAATTCCAAAAGATATTACGCGTTCCACGTTGTATCACGTGTGCATTATATGATAGGTAGTGTCATTTATACCTCGAACACATTAAGTCGATTATAATTTGATTATTAGGTTTTAGTCGATTTATTAATTCTTTATTATTTTAATTTAATGTTTAACTATTACTAATAAGACAGACTGTGAATGCGATTCGTTTAATAATATCATTAAGGATTGCGTAAATCTTTACAAAACGGCATTTTAATGGCCATAGACTACCGTTAGCTCATTTTTAAACGGCAGCCATGTTGTTTATTAGTCGATTATTGATCCAAAAACAGGTATAACTAATTAGTATTGTCAGACGAGAATATCAGTCTTACGGCCGCGGAGAAAGTATCAACATCAATAAAATTTACCCTCCCTTCTCAATGTGGAAACACTAGCTGCGGCCACGTTTCGAGAATCTTGTTAGTTCTTCACACATCAGTCATTTTATAACACCATATTCTTTTGCCGGATTTTCACAAAGGAAATACTATAAAAATGAGTGCTCCAGCACCCGCGCCTGCTTATAAAATAGGAATTGTGAAGCAGGTAATACAACAATAACATGTTTTTATATTTTTTATAAACAGTAAGCCAAGATGCCTCGTGCCGATCTCTTTAATTTGCCTCGTTGGCACATCTTCGCGTTCATGATTTTAACAGATTTAATAGCTTCTATGCGTAATTTAAGCTTGTGATCAAAAAATAGTGTTGGTTGTACTGGTAATTGATCGTTTTCATTTTGTGCCAGCTGGCAGATCGAGGAATCTGTAGATATAACTTTTGATAGATGAAATACTATTTGATATGCAAAACCATAAAATTTTAAGTTACATCTTTATTTACAAAACAGGTACTATCTGGTGA